TTACGATATACAAAACTATGAAGAACTTTTAAAATTATTTTGCTTTTTATGTACAAAACCGACAATACTCGCTCAGTTGTCAGATATTTTCCAGCACTTATGATGAATAATCTTTCTTGATTTGCTTAGCGATTGTGCTCAATTGCATGTTGGTGGTACCTTCATAGATGGCGCCAATCTTAACATCACGGTAGAATTTCTCTTGTGGGAAATCGCGTGTGAAACCAACACCTCCCATCCAGTCAATACATTTGATTGTAGCACGTTGTGCTACTTCTGAAGCATAATATTTAGCCATGGCTGCTTCTTTATGGAAAGGTGCACCTGCTTCAACTAAACGAGCTGCGTTATATGTTAATAAGCGAGCAGCTTCAATTTCAGTGGCAACAGTGGCGATTTGATGTTGCATTGATTGGAAATTAAAGATTTCTGAACCAAATTGTTTACGTTCCAACAGATATGGTATCGTGGCATCGAAACAACCTTGTGCCAATCCAAGCATCTGAGCGCTAATACCAATGCGGCCTTCATTAAGGAAACCCGCTGCGTATTTGTAGCCATAACCGAATTCTCCCAAAAGATTTTCTGCAGGTATACGCACATTATCGAAATTGATCATACAAGTGCCAGAGGCACGAATGCCCAATTTGTCTTCTGGTTTATTGACTACCAAACCGGGTGTGTTACGATCAACAATGAATGTTGTAATACCGCGATAGCCAGCTTCAGGTTTGGCATTGGCAAATACTAAGAATACTCCAGCTATATCTGAATTGGAGATCCACATTTTGGTACCATTTATCACATAGTGATCACCATCTTTTTTGGCAACAGTCTTCAATGAAAAAGCATCAGAACCTGCACCAGGTTCAGTTAAAGCAAAACTTCCAGCATATTCTTGAGCTAATTTTGGTAAATATTTCTCCTTTTGTGCTTTACTGGCAACTTTGATCATTAAAGAGTTGACCAATGTATTGTGAATATCTACGAAAGCAGCAACGGCAGGATCAACTTTAGATAATTCTTCAACAGTCAAAATTGTTGTCAGGAAATTGCATCCACTTCCACCCAATTCGGAATCGATTTCAATACCCATCAAACCGTTTTCAAACACTGCTTTTACAACGGATGGATCAAATTTGTGTTCTTCATCCATTTTCTTAACCAATGGAGCAATTTGTTCCTGAGCCAATTTAGCAACGGTTTCCTTCATCATCTTCTCATCGTCAGTCAAGAAGGTTAGTGGAGGCATGGAACCAGCGCCAGTGGACATACATTGTTGCTGACGTTGTACGGCGTTGGCGATCAAACGCATGGGCAGTTTTTTTAAGCAATTCATCTTCTTCTCCTTTTTAATTAATTAATAAAAATACAAAAAAAAAAAACAATTCAAAATATCAAATAGCAAATATTTTCTGCCTCAAAGCTCCAATTTGCACACAGCCACTGTCGACTCCACACGATTATATATTTATATATATAATTTTATATATATTTTTATATATGTAATTTACAAATTTTGTTATTTGCTATATGTGCCTTCGTGCAGATTGCTTCGTCTACTGATGCTTTATTTCAATAGTGAGCGTGCTTTTATACTGTATTTTTGCTTGAGTCCAGTCTGTTATTCTGCACCTATTTTGTTATTGTTTGTGAAATTCTGATAATCAATTCAATGACAAATGCTGATATAATTACTTTTGTTCTTTGATATAATACAACCACTCAAACCAATTTGCATGCAATATTTTTGACCTTATGACCTTATTTTTAGAGTCTTTGCATTTATGAATTCATTGTATATATTGCGTGCCTGGTTATACTTGCCAGGATCAGGTAGCTATGAAGTGTGTTCATTTTTCATATGACGTCAAAAATATTTCTTTGTCAATTGTTTAAACCTATGAAGACTATTTCTAAATGTACCTGCAAAAGGATTACTTACAAAATGAATAAAATTTGAAAAACTAAGGCGTTATTCTATCTTTATAAAAATGTTCTTTTGTTGTAAAGTGAAATTATTTTTTACTAATTTTGCATTTATCTGGAAGTAAACAAAATCATCCTCTACTCTTTGCTATTGAAATTCAGCTGTGCTCTGAATTATATTGACTCACGTTACAAGTAACTTTAAAAACCATAGAATACAAGAGTTCTTGCAACAACAATTTAAGTAAAAACGTGCTGTAAATAATCAAAAATGTATCTATAATCAGCGTGTAAACTATAATAAAGTAGATTTTCAATCATTTTTGTGTGAATTGTATTTGCAGTTATTTTTCATATTTTTTTTCAATGGGATATATTATATACATTGTACTTATTCGTATATACAGCAGGGTTGCCATTAAGAGATGCTAATGAAATCCGGAAAAATACAAACAAAATTGATAAGAAAGTCAAATATGAAATGTACAATGAATTTGTTTTTATTATAGTTTAAAGCATATGCTGCTTTGCCCATTGAGGAGGACATCCATGAGAGCAGACAGACCGACGACTTTCAAATTTCGTTTATGTTTTTCATATTAATTTTTTCTGTAAAAATTTTGTTTATTTTTTTTGTCATTGATATATTTTATGATTCTGACAATAATTTAAATGATTTTCCATTTTTTATTAATTAAATTTATTCTTCATAATTTTGCTGTTGTCTTCTAATGGTTTGCATTATCTTACGACTCGTTTTATGTTCACAGTCTGTATTATTACAAGATGTTTTTGAAACTAATATATCCTAAGTATTTGTTGAGTGATTTTCTATCTATGTAGGATATCAGATATATACTGATATCTGATATATATCACTAACGAGGTTTTTTTTATATCAGCTTTATATAATATGAAATTAGTCAGCCAAAAATTCAATTTATTAATCAATTTAATCAATTTAATAATGAGATTTAGTACAAATTATTTGGTAAAATGTTATTTAGAAAAATATGTATGTATATTATAAAAGTGTTATATATCTTAAGGATGGCAGTCAAGTTCATAAAAATAAGAGAACACTAGTCTTTTCAGAGACTAACCCAAAATCTGCTCCAAATACCGTGGAATTTGAGTCGCAGGAAAAGAAACAATATAAGTGTTTATTATTATTCCTTTAATTCTTGTTTATTAAAAACAGTCTTCTTCTCAGTCAACGCAGCAC